CCTAGCACTTTGGGAAGCCAAGGCGGGCGGATCACCTGAGGTTGGGAGTTCGAGACCAGCCTGACCAACATGGAGAAACCCCATCTCTGCTAAAAATACAGTTAGCTGGGTGTGGTGGCGCATACCTGTAACCCCAGCCTCTTGGGAGGCTGAGGCAGGAGAGTCGCAGGTTACGGTAAGCTGAGATCATGCTATTGTACTCCAACCTGGGCAACAAGAGTGAAACTGTCTCAAAAAAAAAAAAATGTATTTTGATTGAGGCAGAGTCTTATTCTGTTGCCCACATTGGAGTGCAGTGGCATGATCATAGTCACTACTGTCTTGAACTCTTGGGCTCAAGCAGTCTTCCTGCCACAGCCTCCCAAGTAGCGGGGACTACAGGTGTATACCACTACGCCCAGCTGATTTTTTAATTTTATGTAGAGATAGCATCCCTATATGTTGCTCAGGCTGGTCTTGAACTCCTGAGCTCAAGCAGGTTTCCTACCTCAGCCTCCTGGAGTGTTGAGATTACAGATGTGAGCCGCCACACCCGGCTTTCTTTTTTTTTTTTTCTTTTTGATACAGGGTGTCACTCTTGTCCAGGCTGCAGTGCAGTGGTGCTATCATGGTTCATTGCATCCTTGTACCCCACCTCCCCCAAGTGATCCTCCCACCTCAGCATTCCAAGTAGTTGGGACCACAGACACACAACACCATGCCTGGCTAATTTTTTTTTTTTTTTAAATACGGAGATTCTCTCTATTGCCCAGGCTGGAGTGCAGTGGCATGTTCTGGGCTCACTGCAGCCTGGGCCTCGCAGCTAATTTTTGTATTTTTAGTAGAGATGGGGTTTCACCATGTTGGCAGGCTGGTCTGGAACTCCTGATCTCGGCCTCACAAAGTTCTGGAATTACAGACATGAGCCACCATGCCTGGACTTTCTTCCCCAACCCCTTCACGAAGTCTTACTCTGTCAGCCAGACTGGAGTGTAGTGGCGTGGCCGTGGCTCACTGCAAACTCCGTCTCTTGGGTTCAAACAATTCTCCTGCCTCAGCCTCCTGAGTAGCTGGTATTATAGGCGCGTGCCCCCACACCCAGGTAATTTTTGTAGTTTTAGTAGAGACAGGGTTTCACCATGTTGGCCAGGCTAGTCTCCAATCTCTGACCTCATGATCTGCCCACCTTGGCTTTCCAAAGTGCTGGGATTACAGGCATGAACCTAGTTTCTTCAAGAGACAGTCTTGGGCCAGGCTGCCTGGCTAATTTTTATATATTTTGTGGAGACAGGGTTTTGCCATGTTGCCCAGGCTGGCTTTGATCTTCTGGGCTCAAGCACTCCTCTACCATGACCTCCCAAAGTGCTGGGATTACTGGTGTGAGCCATCACACCTGGCCATATTATTTGGAAACTTTTTTTTTTTTTTTTTTTAAGATGGTGTTTCACTGTGATGGCCAGGCTGGTCTTGAACACCTGACCTCAGGTGATCCACCCACCTCAGCCTCCGAAAGTGCTAGGATTACAGGTGTGAGCCACCGTGCCCCGCCTATTTGGAAACTCTTAATTCAAATTTAACTCTTTATTTCACTTGGGATTTTCTTTTTTCTGTAGAGGTAGGTTCCACTCTACCTTTGCTTGAAGTTTGACAGTTTATTTTGTAATTTAGGGTGAAAAAATGCCATCTAACAAAGTATTCCATTATTCGGCTAAAGTATTTCATTGCTGTTTCTAGGACTTTCAAAGGTCAGTGAAAACTCCTCCTGCCAGTTATCTTACTAAACTCAAAAGTAGCCTTTACTTGTGTCATAAACAGACTTAATCAGTAAAACCACCACTACTTACTGAAGATAAGGAAATAAACTGTTAGAGGGCCATTACTGCAGTCATAAGAATTAATTTTTTTGTAGTTTGAGTGTGCGAGCCATTATTTGGTTGCAGTATTGCAATGGAATTTGTTTGTTTGTTTATTTGTTTGTTTGAGACAGGATCTCACTTCGTCAAGCAGGCTGGAGCCTTAGTACTCCTGGGCAAGTCTCCCACCCTAGCTTCCCGAAGTATTAGGATTACTGGTGTGAGCGTTTAGTACTATATTGCTCCCTACAAATCTTTAGTCCTTTGTATATTTAGCAAATGTCTGAAAAAAAAAGCGAATGTTTTGCTATTGGCTTGATGGACATTTATGGAATGGCTCAATTAGTGACATGGTATTAACACGTGTTTTGTTTCTTTCCCAATTTTTTATGTCTTTGGTTTTCCCTCATTTAACTTTTTTTTTTTTTTTTTTTTTTTTTTTTTTGAGACAGAGTCT